TTTGCCTCTCTTTGAGAGGCGCCCTAAAAAGAACTAAGGTCTTGAAGTCATAAAAAAACTAACACTAACAATTTAAGGTAAAATAAAGTCCACCATAACAACAACAACAAAAACGACAACAAAAGTCAACCAAAATCAAGACTAAAAAGAGGAAACAATTGGATATATAGAAATAGAAACAACGAAAATGCATACAGAAACACGGATGGTACAGGAGAGATGCGTTAAGAGAGAGAAATTGCCAAAGTTTGCTCATTTTGGATTTCTAGACCATCTGACCTTGGTTATATCCGGTACTCATTCTCGACATAAAGGATACTTCTCATGATGATTACTTGAACTGTTATATTATTATAATTTGGATCAAATGCAAAGCTATCCGAGCCTCAGCTTCAGAAGGTTATAATAATAGTAATGATTTAATATTTATATTGCGCAAATTAACATGTGGATATGATCAAATGCGCATCACAACACTTTTCGGGGGACTTTGGCCGGACTGCATCAGCAGTTTACAAACAATCGAAGGAAACGTGTTTGAAGATGCCCCATCCCCCCAGTTCCCAGTAAACAGGCCAGACCACATCATAGTAATCTCGTGAGTGGGTTCTTTAACGTCCCCTGCCTAACCAAATTAACTAATTAATAGATGCAGGAGACGGGTAAATTTGTATGTAGTAGCACTGTGGGCATTTAGTGCTGTTTACTCTGGATCCATTCTTACATTGTTTTCTTTGTTCTAAGGTTGTTTAAGTCATATAATGCTAAATAATAAATCTAAGCGTTCCCCTTGACTCGAACCAGGCAGAGGTGCAGTCAGTGTACAGCGATGGTTCTCTCTCTTTACACACGCGGAGTCTCAAGTATGGAAAGGTTGGTTTGGCTGAACGTTTTTAAACAACAAAGGTGTTTTTAGTGTTTTCACAAGCGTGGGACAAACAAGAAATTCTGAGTCTCCTTGAGGAATCGAACCTCAGACCTTCGGATTTCGCCTCTTATGTTGAGCCACAGAGACTCTGTGTTGTGAGTTTGGCCCATTACGAAGTTCATGTATGTCATGCGTCCTGCATGCTGCTAGGATCGGCGATGTCGATCATGTTTTGTAAGTAGACCAAGAAAGGTTGTAACACCTTTCTCTACTTCTTTACCGAGCTCAAAAGTTACCATCTTTCTTATTTTATTTACAGCAAAGCTTTCTTTGCAGAAGTACATTGTGGTAATCTTAACTCATTCGGCCCTTAACAATAGCAGAACTACTGCTGTTAGATGTACTGAGTTATTTATTGTTTCTTGACAGCTTAAAGAAGGCACCCTCGTTCAAGTTCCACCTTCGCTGGTTAAAAGGTGTAAGACTCACTTTCTTAACCTTCCTTGTGGTGCCACGGTAATTGTGGGTAACAATGGTTATGTTTGGATATCTCCTTTGGAAAACGAAGAAGCCACACCCAGTGACGGCCTGGCCAACAGTCTCGAGAATGAAACCAATGCACCAAGACAGGTCAGTAGTGGTAATGAAGTGTAATCGTTTGTCTCACGATGGAATCACTTCAGATGTAGAGTGCGGCTCTTAGACAGTAAACTGTTAGTTTTCGTTTGTCTCACGATGGAATCACTTCAGATGTAGAGTGCGGCTCTTAGACAGTAAACTGTTAGTGTTCGTTTGTCTCACGATAGAATCACTTCAGATGTAGAGTGCGGCTCTTAGACAGTAAACTGTTAGTGTTCGTTTGTCTCACGATGGAATCACTTCAGATGTAGAGTGCGGCTCTTAGACAGTAAACTGTTAGTGTTCTTTAAACCCATTTTCATTTTATTGTTTGTTCAATTTCACAGCTAAGTTGATACCTCGGATTTTGAACCGGGCTTTACAATATTTAGAATTGTGTCGGCAAACTTTTTTCCTTTGTCCTTTTTCGAAGGTATTTAAACGTTTTCAAAATCCATCTTGTGAGGCCTTCTTTATTCCTTGTTTCTAGATCCAACACTCTGATCGCGAGACGATAGCGCGCCTACGAAACTGTGTGTTGACACTTACAGATCATGGTGTGATGCTCTTTAACACCTCTCTGCAATATGCTTATGATGCATCATTGAAGTACTCGGTGAGCAGTAGGTTTGCTCGTCAGTGTGTCAGTTTTCTTGTAATTAATTTGTTTGTTTGTCCGTTTTTGTTTATCTCTTTTAATTTTAGTTCCTTTTTGTCTCTTTTTGTTTCTTTTTATTTCTTTTTGTCTTGTTCTTTTGTTCTATACGAGGGACACATCGTTACGTTAAAATTTTCAAAACTCGAAGCCTCAAAGCTATTTTTTACCTGACATCAGTATGCATATTCTCCATACTGTTCTCTATACAATTCTTTGGGTGCTGACAAGGAGAATTTGTTTAACAATCAAGAGCTTTTTTTTTTAGTTGGCGATCATGTCCTTTATTCTCTTGTTTGATTCAGGGGTGATTTTTTAAGGAGAAATTAGGTGCGAGTAATCCTTGGAGGTCTTAAGGTGACGTAGAAAGAGGGAGTTAAATGCAACAATTATGGGAATCACCATCCCTAAACGTAAAAAAAAAAAAAAATTCCCCTGGTCAAGAGCGTGCACCTGTTTTGTGATTCGACACAACTTCACGTCGTTGCAAGGAACCGCGATTATGTTTAAATTTCGCACTCGAGTAGTTTTGTTTTCGCTCAGAAAGTCTTTATAGTGGCCAGTTTACATTATCAACTCCGTTGATAAAACCAAATGATCTTGAAATTCCCTCCACCGACACCGCATCGTAGTTTCTTTAGAAACTTACCCCCCCTTTATTAGTTTCGGTTTGTCAAGATTTTGAGGGCAAGAGGTAGAATGTGCCGGGACAGACACCATCAGCAGTTCAGCTGCTGTACTGTAAGTAACCTTTATTGTACCAACGTTTGCGCTGTTTAAAAGTTTTAAACATCTTTTCTTGTCATGTTGTCAGGTAAAAGAATTGCTGAAGCCTGAAATCCAAGAAGAAATAGTGGACAATGTTAGGCTGCTCCTAATGCAAGAAATATAAATAAAATGAACGCTTCCGTCACTGTTTTTAGATTTATTAATTTTTATTGGTCAAAAGGTTGTGCAAGAAAAATCTAACAAACCTAGATATTAACGACTAACGCCCTTGTTTTTAATATTAATTATTCTTGTTTTTGAAGTTTAATTGGTTTTGACATAGTCAGATCGATTCTGCTGACTATGTCCAAACTCTTTGTATTGTCACCCTCTTCGATCCATTGAAAGACAATAAAAATCAATTATTTCAGTAAACGTTTGAGCAATTCACTGGCCCTGCAGATGTAGCTAACTTCTTCCTCATCAGACAGTTGAAATACACGAGGTTCATGTCGAACAACTTGCTTAATATCATTGTGCGCAAATTTTGAAACACTTTGTAACGTTTGACTTCAAAATCAACTGAAAATTCTCTTTCATTGCCGGTGACGACAACTAAACGTTTTAATTTTTTTTTTTTTCAAAACGAGAAAAATGGAGAAAACTTACAGAGGAAATTGCTAGAAAAGTCCATGGAACCTCCGAAACAAAGAAGCTCTAATAGAAAAGAAAAACAAACGAAACATGAAAATAGATTCTATCAGTCAATCTTAACCTATTTCTAAGTAGGTTTATAAATAGTAAATGAATTGGACAAGTAAAAACATGGTATGGTCTATGTTCACGTGTGTGTTTACACCGCTACACAACTTCAGGTACCTTTTGCTTTTTCTAGTCGTGTCTCTTGATTGTGTTCCTTAAAAACCTTTGTCGCAAGCTTCAGAAACGCATGCTCTCGATGTCTGTTCTCGGGTTTTGTTTACAATTTCTGTGGCTGAATTCCATCTGGTGTAAGATCGCTTTGTCAGGGCTTCCTTAATAGGCAACCTGCGGTGCTTGTGTGCCACGTAAGTTGAAAGCGACTGTAAATTAGACTGAACTGCACCATGGTAGGTTAAACGATATCCTCCTGGAGTGTTCCCAACACTGAATCGGTAAAAAACCATGGTTGGTAAGTGTAAACTACCTAGTCTTAACACCACTAAAACTCAGTAGTAACTACGCCAATTTGTCGACACTCAGGATAAGGAAAAACCTTTTGTGTCGTATCAATAGATGTTATATCTTTCAGCTACAGATAAATCAATCATATTTAGTACTCGTACATTGAAAAATTGGCAGCTAACTCGTGATGTCAATCATATCATGATCTGATTATGAAGTGGTAAAGTTGAGGCTGATAACGCTGAGAGATCGCAAAGTTATCGAACCGATCCTAACATTTGAGACCGTCAAAGAACCTCTGTATAGCTGAAGCTTTTCTTTTAAGAGTTGTTTGTTTCGAGAGCAAGTGATCGTGATGCATTCGATCATTATTGTGTAACCCAAGAGCGAATACATCCTATATCTATTGTTCTCTTAATGGTCAATTTCACTATTCTTTTTCCCATGTTAAGCCACCCGGGGAGAACCTGTTCAGATGATAAAACTCTGAGGAATGAAACACGCACTCTGCTTAAGGATTGCATTTAAGTCTGTCCCAAATTCGGCCGTGTCCTTCATTTTCAACCGCAAGAAACAAGAGTTTTGAGGAAAATTTGGCGATTTTTGCTAGCAAAGAAGTGTACAGTGCACTTCCATGTGGTCTACTTTTTAAGCTTGTTTTCTAAGTACTCTGTTTGCTTTATATTCTCACCACGCTCGTTTTCAATGTGCATATGATTAAAAACAACACTTTGAATAACTATGCAACAGTTTAAAGCCTGCAAAGGAGTTAATAAACCTTTTTCGAGATATTGATCATGTAGACAAAGGTAAGCCTGTTTTAAACTGTTCTGCAAGGCAAGAGTCGAGCAGCTTGGGACTGAGGGATCTTGGTTAATTTGAGTAAGAAAAGGCTTTTTTTGTTTCTGTTTTTCTATTCGAGAAAAAAAAAAAACAGTGGGAACAAAAATAATCGAAAACAAGCCTCAGTATAGTTGTAAGCATCTACTTACTTTACTTGTCGCTGAGGGGAAGTTAATCTTTCTGTCGATCAGTAAATCTAAGGACACCCATCCAACTCGATTTTTGGCTGTTCTTGTTGCTGTTGTGTTCTAAGGGCTCCCTAAGGATGCACACGGTTGTTTCAGCGTTTCTTGTCAGCCGGTTACCATGTGTATTTTATGTTAAGAGTTAAACAGAGACGAAAAGCTGATGTACATGCATTAGGTCTGAGTCTACGTTTAAGTTAAAAAGCATGCCTTGACGATAAAAGCTGGCTACGATCAACGCTTCAAATTCATCCACTTCCAATTCGAAGAACAAGTAATTGAATTTCAGACAGAAGAATATGTTGTGTTTTTTTTTTCAACTTTCACATCGTGATCCATTTGGGAACTGAATCACCGTGTAAAGTTAGAATAAGTGCATCCTATTCCTATTGTTTTTGTAATAGTCAATTTCGCTTTTCTTTTTCCCTTTTTGAGCCACCCGTTGTGAGTAGCGTATATTTAGGAGAAAAACACGCACTGGTGGTCAAGTTTCATCACACTGTGAAGTAGGACGTCAGTGTTGCTGACTTAGCTGAACTAAAAACAAAGCCGGTATAACAAAAAAAAAATTGTGAATTAAGAACCTAAAAATAAATGGATATCTCTGAAATTAAAACACCTCCTAAGTTTCTTATGGAGTTGTTGTTTTTTTTTTATAACTTTTGGCGGTCTAACCACGCTACTGTTCGATTTGCATAATTTAAATTCACCAATTTGAATAACTGTACATCTTACCCATAGATCAAAATTTTAAGGAAGTGTAAGTGACACGTGCCTTGCAATGATTCACTTCGTCAAACTTCAAGGAGATTAGTTATAATTAAAAAAAGAGAATGTTATAAAATTGAACACGGGATGGCCACGACGACCTTAAATAAAGAATCTGGCTTAACACACGATCAAGAATTATCAGTTGTTGTAAACGGCACAACGATTGCATATTTACTAATTTCATCAGTTAAAGTTAATAATTTGGTAGTAGATAAAACGGTTATCGCACGCACTTGTCTTCGCCAGCGTATTGTTTTCTTATGATGTTTTTATTTGTTCTACCATCAGTTTCTTATTAAAGATCTGTCTGTTCCAACACTTTTACCTCCAGACTAAGGTAAATACACATTGCGTTTTAATTCAAACAGAAATATAAAGACATCATCATGATTGAAATTGTCCCTGTATAGAAAGGAGCTCATGTCAAACCGTTTCTTGTATTGGTACACAGCCGATTGCACGCGATCTCTCGAAATTTGAGTCTTTGAAAACTTAATTGCAGTTTATGTTCCATCCTTATGTTTTGTATATTTGCAGCCTCAATTTGTTAGAAGTTTAAAGCGTAATATATATCTTCTCAATTTTTAATAACAAAATGGGAGATGAATGATTTTCCTGCCGATTGATAGACGAGAAAACTTTCTCAAGAAGCAGGGTTATTTGTGATAATTGAACAACGACATAATTCGTACACCGAAACGAATTGCGTTCAAGGGTAAAACCTCTCTAAAATCCAGAAAAACTACAGTTTTTGTGATGCTAAACCGTACCAGGCAGTCATGCTCGTGAAAGAGCAGCACACGGTATTTATTGATGTTACATCCTTTTGAATAACACTATCTTTTACGCAGATTTCAATCTTCTTCAAGGCATAGGCCCATTGAATTAATGTAGAATTAGCTCACGAAGTTCTCACCTGGTTTTAATTTTTTTGCATTAGAAATAGTAATCCTAAGTAGTTCTTTCTTACAATAAATCGCTTTTCTGTCACGGCTATTGTTCACTCAGAGGGAAAACTAAGAGAGCACCTATACACTCTTCTTTCTTCAGACGAGGATGGTGCCGACAGTGAAGAATGGAAACTCTATGATTTAGCGCAATGCAACCAGAAGTAGTTTTTATGTTGTATCCATTGTATCCACGAAGTTAAGGCTGTCTGTTGATTCGTATGATGCACTGTCCTTCTTCAACAATTCTGAACAAAAACAACAAAAGCAAAGCTATGAATTGATCGTATAAAAGTAAACGCAAATGCTGCTCTATTAGACAATTGTTTCCGCGCTTGTTAAGAATTGCTGCAGCACGTGTGTCGCCGGAGTGAGTCGTTAACATAGCGGTTTGTATTCGTGTTAAATAATTTAGGTACGTTTCGTGTTGGAAAGACACGAGCCCCCTTTCTTCTATATAATTGACCGTGACTAATTGTCAGACAGTTCTAACGAAGAGAAATACACTCAAGTTTTGACAGTGCCTAGTTACTATTAGTTATTCAAAGCGTCTTTCATCAACCCATAAGAAAGATAAGTACATTTCCTGCGCTAGGAAGAAATAAAGGGGCAAATTATCCGCTGCTTTCGTAAATAAAACACAGAGAGAAAATCTCAAAATCGCCCCAATTACACGGCACTGAACTCGAATTAACGAAGCAAAAAGGAATAATTTGGTCAGAAAATAATCATTTTTTTTTATTCATTTCATACGGACCGAGTAATGGTAAATTAAATAACATCTTCGATTTCAGTTTTACTTAATTTTTTTTTTTTTCGCACCGACGCCAAACATTGTAACTGTTGCTAATATCCAAATGGGATCCGGAGCGGAAGCTGCGCGCTTGAAATGGTTTCTGAAAACAAATTGAGAGCGTTTTAAAATTACATGCTTACTAAAAAAGAAAAATACTGTTTCTGCCGCTTTTTGTTTCATCACTTGAATTTTCAAGAGCAAACATTGTGCTTTAGTGTCAAAGATTTTGTGAGAACTAATACAATAACACGTATGCAAAGCAAGTCTTTCGCTTAGCTGTGTTTTCTTTCGAAAGTTTTATCTACATAGGCATGAAATGGGTATTACAACAGCCGTTAACACTGTCCAGTTCAGATTGTTTTGGGTTAGATAGGATATTTGAAACATAAACGTTTTTAAAAGGTACATTGGCGAGGAACTCTTCCTCTTTTGTTTCAATTTGCTTCCAGATCAAATCGATAGGAAATTTAACTTTTCTTTGAGATTAGCTTTCCGCAAAGATAGATGATCTTCTTTTCACCCTTTAACAACTAAGAAAGCTTTATCGTTCTCGCTTCGTTCACTTTGACGTTAGCGCATGCGTGATGACGCAGAGTTACGATTTCCTCGATCGTGAACAATCCTAATAATGAACTTCACACCGAGGCGTTTGAAAGGTTTGTTTGGTTTACTTCGATGGCGTAACAACTAGATATCTTAAATATTGACCGCGGAAAATAGCGTTGTCACGTCTTATCGGTGACCTGCTGGCGTAATGAATAGAAAAAGCGTTGTACGACTAATAAGGTTGAAGAAAATTATTGAGCGTGTTGAGGTCGTTATTTGATGTTAGCCTGATTTAAGACTACATAGATAAACGAAAAAAAGAAGGTATTATTAAAAGATAAGGATTCTTTATTCTCTTTCACGGAGGTAATAAGATGGCTATCGATCGCATAAATAAAAAAATAATATAAAGAAAACCGAAAAAACAAAACAAAATGATGGTAGATGGAGAGAAAAAAAAAATAAAAAAAAACAGAGGAGCCATTTCATCAAAAAGGTAAATCTTGCTATTCTTAACCTTTTCTCAAAATTAAGAACAGGAAAGATTTCAAATGATGGATGGCAATTCGTATGTTTGACCCCCCTCAACCTTAAAATGGCATTTAAATATTAATTCAGGAAGTTTATTATTATAGTTAAATTAAAAGTAAAATCCCAGAAATTGAATTTACACCCGTGCTGAAGCTTTAACTATTATCAAGTTTTTGGTGTTGAAAAGTACGAAGCCTGTTTGTCAACTCTAAGAAATTCTCAAACAAGTAAAGCTCCTTTATTAAAAATGAAAATTTCGTTTCAAACTTTAATTGTCTCTGGGGTACACAATGTGGACTGTGTAGTACCAATATATCCTTTATTCCTCTGTTTTATGAAGCTTGCAGTCGATTTACAATTGTTATCATGGACTCAAATGCGAGAATTAAAAATTAAAATAACGTTTCCCGAGATAAACAATCGAAATTTTGTGGTCTCTGCGGGACAGCTTCAATTTTTAACAGAAATGAGCCGCGCGAGAAACCAGAGAATATTGCGAAATTACTGAAAAAGTTATCGGTTGGTAAAGCTGGTTATATCACATACAGAAATACAGGTAAACGAAGCGATAAAAAATAGAAAAGCAGGAAAAAAAAAGATTGAGGAATTCGACCACACCCCACATCATCAAATTTTTAAAACATTTTCGAGTCTATCGAATGTTGGCTGTAAAAATGATGGAAAAATGCAAGGCGCCGACTCTGATAGTCATTGGGTTTAAGGTGCGGATATTCAAGAATAGCTAGTTATGACAAAGGCTGCCCACTCGCCTGATCGCAGTTGTTAATGAAATTGCAAGGTTGACGCTGTTTAATAAAAGAGTTAGTCCTGGAGCTTAATATTTCATCTGCAAGAACAGTTTGGTGATGAAAATAAACCCTTCTCCCAATTTTTTGTTCCGGGAAAGAAGTTCGAGACAGCTGTCTGCCAAGTTTCCTTGCGTGCGGGTCGTTTAGTGTATGCTAAGTACGTTTTGATTTAAGATTTAAAACGTTTCTTTTAAGTTTTCAAAATACTTCCGATGTACATAAATTTCCTCTCTTGTCTAAGATGATATTATCACACTCACGTAGCACGCAGTGGTTTTTTTTTTTTTTTAGATACTGTTGCCTTTTTTAGACAGCTTTGATGTTTGGGCACAACTCGTGTTATTCACTGAGACGCCATAACATTCAGGGGCAAGAAACACTGATGTGGGGTTGATCATTTGACTTTGTTTCCATAAAAAATGTTTACTTTATAAGGGGTTTTGAGTTGAGTACCGAGATTCACCCCGTTAGACAACTTTAAACACTCCTTAGCGATGTGACTAAAGGCGGGCTATTATCCATCCAATACACTCTGTCTTTCTTTACAAAGGAGAGTGTTATCCTTTGGTCACCTTGTACATCAAGGGCGATTAAAGAAATCATTATACCTTGGAACGTTTGTCGGATCTCGAGGGCTAATATGCAAGTTTTAATTTCGCTTATTTTTGAAGCTTCCTTCAGCATTGATTACCCATTTCCCCAAGGGCACATATCTTTCACTAAGCACTACAAAGTGACCCTTAGCAATTAAGAGTGTATTTGAATTTACTTTGCACCGCGAACCATAATAAGCAATCACTGATTACCACAAACCTAAACAAA